TCTGACATCGTTGCCTATGAGTAAGGTGAAGCGCGAGGATGCTGGTGACTACACTGTGGTGATCGCCAACGAGCTTGGCGAGACTAGCGTCACTGTGCACCTGATTGTGCTGGACAAGCCCTCACCACCACGCAATCCGCATGTGACAGAGAACACGGGTGATCGCGTAGTCTTCCACTGGGATGAGCCCGAGTTCGCAGGCCTTGAGCCGGGCGGTGCGCCTCTTGAGTATGTTGTGGAGATGCGCGAGGCCACACAACGCGTGAACAAACCAGTGACTAAGACGGTTGAGCTCTCTACACCGGTGGAGTCATTGAGTGTAGACAAGTCCTACATCTTCGCGGTGGCAGCCAAGAACACAGTTGGCCAATCGGACTTTGTGGAGACAAAGCCCGTCTCCACGAAGTTGCAGTATGGTCCACCACTGAGTCCCGTGAACGTCAAGGCAACGGTGAATCCGGAGAAGGCTCCGGTGAGTGACCAATCAGTGGAGTTGACTTGGGAGATGCCAGCGGAGGCTGGACCAGTGCCAGCCGATGTGACGACCGAGTTCGTGGTGGAGATGAAGCCGAAAGATGCAACACGTTGGCAAGAGGTGGCCAAGGATCTGACGGAGCTACGCGTTACTTTGCCCACCGACAACATGAAGGAATTCACCGACTACGAGTTCCGTGTGACAGCAAAGAACAAGGCGGGCACGAGCAAGCCTTCTCAGCCATCCAATGCCATTCAATTAGGTAGGTTGAGGTGTCTGCCTCGATTAGCAGTAGTTAGCTTGGATTAGTATAGTATAGTACAGCTTAGTTTAGGTTAGGGTAGACTTAATTCACACTGCATTGTCTTCACTTTGGTTTATTTGAATGGAGTAGGGCAAGGTGGAGGGGTCAAAGTGGCACAAAAAGGAGGAGGAAGAGGTGGTACTAGGATTAGAAGGGAAGTCTTGCAGGTGGTGAGGTATGTGAGGCCTTCTGAGGCAGCAGCTTGATTAGCTGGACTGGTGGTGTGAAGTGAGGTGGGTCTTGTAGGCAAAGTGTAGAGGGTAGTGTAGAGCAGGCGACATTCGTTGCAGCATGCATGCACCTACTTGTAAGACGTCCAGATGAGTGGTTGGAGTGCTGAATTTGGTGGCACACCTGGAAGCCACGTGTTGAATGCCTCGGAGGGTGCAAATTGAATGAGCTCTCTTTGTCTGCTACTTTCGAAGGTATTCCGTTGGAGTTCATTCGTGAGTTGCCGAAAATTGTTGTGACCGAGGCGCCATCGAGGGAGAAGCCGGTGGTGTTGGAGTGCGAGCTCTCCAGAAAGCCGAAAGAGTCGGTCAAGTGGCTGCACAACGGAAAACCACTGCCATCACGTCTTCCCAAGGGTGTGACGGTGGAGGAGGAGAAGCAGTCCACTATTCATTGCATCACTTTCACAGAACTAACGGAGGATGATCTTGGGGAGTACACTGTGCAGGTGGAGAAGATAGCCTCAACTGGAGGAGTGGAAATGAGGGGTGAGTGTATTGTGCGGCACTAGATTGTGTTTGCTGTTGGTGTCGATGACACAGGATGTTGTCGCCTTGGGTATGCTCGCGCGCCACGTTGGTGGTGATGAAGGTGTCTTTGCGTGCCCCTTGT